AGGCCCATGTAGACACAACCAGGCAATACAGAATTGTACTCCAGATGCCCCAGATGGAAACACTTTAGCAGTCACATCAAGGAGCGATCCAAACAAAGTCAGTCCAGGTCGCTCACAGCACCCGGGGCCTCCAGGAAACCTGGTGCACTCCGTGTCTACGTTGGTACCCTGGGTGGAAAAGGAGGGCTAGGCCTCTTCTGAGGGGGCTGTCAGCATAACTGAGGCCCATCTGAGGTACATTTCTCTCACGGGCCCCTAAAACAGCTAAGGAACTCATCTGCAAGGCCAACCCCCCACCCCTTCCAACCCACTATTTTTGGACCAACCCCTGTTTGGTCTGGTTGGGGCCAGTAGATTATTTAAAACCCTCTGCTGCCAGCCAGCCCTGTGGACACCCTGGCTTATATATGCAGCAGGGGCTGCAGGTAAGGGAAGTGACCACAAGAGAGAGGGTATCAAATTCCCGGCAGGCTCCAGGGGCTGGAAGCCTCAATTTCCAGTTCTGATTCCAAAACCGAACTTCCTGAGGGACTCACCCAGACCTTCGGCGGGTGACTGACCCCAGCGTCAGACCTCAAGGCCTGTGGCTGAGTGGGGGCTGCCTTCCTATCGGACAAGGAGGCCCAGGGAACAACATCTCCTACAGACTGGGTATTTCCTGCCTGGTGAGAAGAGAGATTTAAAGGAGCACGAAAGCTATTTTAGAATAGAATCTATTTACACTGGACCCACACTTAGAGAAGAGTCCCAGAAGCATCCGCTTGACTGGAATTGATGAAACGCATCGGTGACTTCCTTACTGTTTGCTGACAAAAAAGAAAGCCTGCTTTTGTGGGTCCTCTGTAAAACCCCATTCTGATAAGCACCTTTGGGGCACCAAGTGTTTCTACCTCAGTGATTCCATTCGCTCCTCTTAACAGCCCATTATTAATACCCCATTTTACAGATAAGGAGCCTGGGGTTCAGAGTACTAGAGAGCTTACTCCGAGTCACACACTAGCCTCGTCTGGCACAAACCTCATCCTGATTTCAAACCCTGTGCCTTTTCTCCACCACTCCAAGCTGCTCCAAATGCCTCACGTACATATATGAAGAGGCCACTGTGTCTGTGATGGGACCTGCATGGTGGAGGG